CAAAGAGTCCTTGTCCTTTTTTTTATTAGTTTTTATTTGTTTCGCTGGTTCCACCTTCAATTCAGTTTGACATTTGATATTTTTTAAAGGCGGAAGCGTTTTTTCTAGATGTGATTTTTTTGGTATTGACACTCTAGATTTGCTTGCATTACCTCTAAAAAAAATGGGAGGCAATGTGTGATTTTCGCTTTTTCCTTTTACGGCCGTAGCCATTAGTTCAGTATTTTTTTTCGTACTATTTTTCTTGATTGGTACTTTTGCCAAAGGTGGCAAAGTATTGTTTTTTTTTTGGATTTTCATTGCAGGAAGTTTTACATTAACATTTTTATTCGACTTCAACGGAGATGTCTTATCAATCCATTGGGTGGAGAACACAGTTTTGGAAATGGGAGGGTACTGCTTCCACAAACGGAATTCCATCACTTCTTTCCTCTGTAAAGTATCTGTTCTTTGCGCTGGAAGTATTGGCACAGGAATTTTAGTTTTCTGTTTACTTTTGTATATTAAAAATGTTTTCAAGCGTAACATTTTTTTACAGTGTATTTCTGTTTAGTTCGAAAATTATAATGATATGACTTTTGTCACCATGGATACAACTTTCAATTCATTGTTCGTAATATATTCTTACTTTTGTACTTTGTGTACTCAACTTCCTGCTACTTTGTACACATCCCTAACCCTTAGAGGCGTGGGGTTGAAGTAAGGAGTTGGAGGATACCTTATTTTAATACATAGGAATTCAAAGCTATATTCTAAATCCATTATAGCGGTGCCCTACACAGGGTCGCTTTAAAATAGTATAGAGCATATAAAAATACCTAATGAACTGTGGTCAGGTTTGATTAGTTTACAGATAATACAATAATATGATAATACTCTCTGTTTCTTTCTGAGAAAAAAAATATATATACAATGTAGTACAACTACCTTGTAAATAATAAATTGTATTCATTATTTTGAAACTAACCCAGCAAACTGCAGAAAAATGCAGTAAAATTTTGGATTACTGTATATGCATGTAAACTTATCTTTCAAACAAAAAAAAGTTTATTCCGATCCGATACATGGTATGTAAAATATCGTTATTTTTAATATAGCCCTTTCCGCCATTTTAATGACGTCATAACCGGAAACTGCAGTGGGTGCAGACGTGACACCCAAGTTGAAAACACTTATTTAGACACATACATCAACATTGAATGGCGAAACTGTCTTTATAAGACTTGCGAACTGCCCTAGATGCCAGACTAATAGGCGTTTTTGCGCCAAAATTGGTGTTTTTATGAGATTTATCTAGTTTCTTGACGTAATCTTTTGAGTAAAACATATCGAATTTGGTATTTTTGTAAAGATTTTTAACGTTCTACAACTTTTTTCATTGGTGGTTTTTGATAAATTGTATCAATAAAACGTTACAAACAAAAATAACTCAAAAATATTAAAAAATACAGGTTTTTGCAAAATTACGAAGAATGTACTAAACATACAACAAATGTGTAAATGTAAAACAGGTAGCATTTAAAATTTTCTTTCAAACAAAAAAAATTCATTCCGATCCGACAAATAGTTTGCGAAATATACGATTTAAAAAAATCAATGGCCGCCATTTTGATGACGTCATAGCTCGAAAACGTACCAGGTGCGAACTTGACACCCGAGTGGAAAACACTTCCTAAGACACCTATATTGAAATGCAAAAGCAAAATTCTCTATACACGACATGCACACAGAACCCTAGTCAGGTCCTGGACTATAAGCGCATAGCGTCGTCTGATATCATAACTGATCATTTGCCATATGTTCCGGGCTTGTGCCGTGTTTAAATGTTTGTATATTTTTGTGTTTTGACGCTCTTCATATGAAAAAGGAAATGTCCTTGTACATCCTGATGATGGCTCCACATATTAGCCGAAACCATAGTTTCATTTGCAACAAGATTTAATTGCCTAATAGTATTCAAAACTTTTCAAAAATATTTTATCATGAAGGATATTTCCTAATCTATTCTCTTAACAGACTTAAGAAAGACACCATTGTGATAAAACTGATAATAGTGTTCTTATCAGCCAATTTTGCGTTTTGGTTGCTGGCTCAGCGGACATTACATTACAAAACAAACAACAAACGCGGGGAAGTGGTAATTGGATGATAAAAAACTGTACCTATCCATACAGACACATTTTAACTGTAATTTATTCTTAACTGGCTCCATTGTATTTTATCTACGTGTTAGCAATAACATTTAACCAAACCCCAACAAGGAAATGTCGAAACAATCACATAGTGTTTACTCAAAACAAGATTTCCTTCCAAATTACATTGCATCCAGAAGTAACGCCGCAGAAAGCGTGATCGTTGCTGAAGCTTCCTACTTAATTCCGCTCCTCCCAATTATCTAAATAAACCCATAAAACCACTAAACTATCTAATTTACAAGCTAACGGAATGGCTTCGTAATTAACTTGATTAGGAAATTTAAATTTAGACTATTTTCATTACAAATTCTAATTAACGGATGGATAAATTAGCTTAGTCTAATTATATTAGAATACTTTAATTGATTCGTCCTATGTTATGGCCGTAGCCTTAGATTTATTTCCCGTCATAATCCAAGAACGATAGAGTCAATTAAAGTTCAAGTATCCTTTTGTATTTAACATGTCCAGAGTGAGGTTTGAAGTTTTTCATCCTCAACCAACGATAGTGGTGATAGCCTTGCAATAGTCCATCCAATGGTTTCAACGACCACCAAAGTTAATGTTGGTTTTTCCGTGGTCTTTGGCCCTGCAACAGTTATAGTGTACTGTGTTCTGTGTAGGTTGGTGACATTGTCATGGTCCTCGAACCGTGCATGTCCGCTAGTCCAAGGCCGTTCCATGATGGACATGAACATTGCCATTCCGGAAAATATTCAACGAGCACTCTTTTTCTAAATAATAGAACATAGAGTAAAAACTGTTACGCAAACGCAAGCCATTTTAAGTTGACAAGAACCTTCTTGGATGGAAATTATTGTTCTTCCTTGTTTATTCTCCTGGACTAAGGCTGGACTTAGTCATGGAAACTTGAGAATTGAAATTATGATCAAATTGTTCTTTGAGGGGTGACGCATAAAAAGAAACCTAATGTCTTGCTTACAAACAGATAGAACAAGACAGTTTTTGCTACAGTGCAGTTGCAAGAGGAAGGAGAATGTCAGCATCCTGAGAATTACTTTCATGTCTTGAATAACATATAACATTTTCATTAATTATTTTTGAATCAAATAATTAAACAACTAGACTGTCCTTGTTGTAAAAACGTACTTGTTACTTGTTATTTTGCAGCTCAGGAAACTATTTTAATGAATCCTACCAACCTTTAGAAAGAAGAAAGAACAATAATAATTTTGGTCTATATTGTTGCAGACCAATTAGTTTATACATAACATAGCACAGGGTGTTATACTTAAAAAAAAAAAACTAGATTACATTTTTACACTTAAATAGCCTATATCACCAACCAGCTCTTCCCCCCTAAGTTTTCCAACTACCCTTATCATGAAAACTAATTTTTGCAGCAATAGGGGTTGTATGGTTTTGTGGATAGTTAACCATGATAAACTAAATTGTGTGGAAGCCCACATACCGGTACTTAATTATTTTATTTATAGATCTGATCTCTAGCTCTGCATACACCCACACACAGACATTACTTCGAAATCCACCTTTTTGGGTTCAGGGGGACATAAAACTAATATTTCTACCAAAACTCAAACTCAAAAACATTGACGAATACAATACTCTCTCCATATCATATACTATTATAGGGAGAGAAAGTACCACCTAAAATTGTGCTACTTGTCCTTTTAGTGAATTTCCCATATAGGGAATAAGCTGTTGTTACCGTAGTACTCATGGTAAGACCTGGACCCGGGACCGATTTAATTTTTTGTTTTGAGGTCCCCAGAGGCCAAAACGCCCTCCGTTCAAATTCATATATATATATACAGGGTGTCCCGGAACTCTCTACCAATATTTTAGGGCATTGCTCCTGGGTAAGAAACATAACTAAATATCATATTTAAACTGTCCGGAAGTCCTTAGTTACTCACACAGCCGCCATTTTGTTTTTTTCAGTTATTAATTTTTTTCTAAAGAATGGTTAAACATACGAAATGGAAACTTTGCACAAACATTTATGGCAACTAAACAAAGCTACCAAAAAATTATCACGATTATTCAAATTCATAAAACAAAATGGCGGCCATTTAAAAATTTTGTAAAATCAATGGTTTTTGAGTTATTTAAGAAAGAAAATTTTAAATGGCCGCCATTTTGTTTTATGAATTTGAAAAATCGTCATAATTTTTTTGTAGCTTTGTATAGTTGTCATAAATGTTTGTGCAAAGTTTCCATTTCGTATGTTTAACCATTCTTTAGAAAAAAATTAATAACTGAAAAAAACAAAATGGCGGCTGTGTGAGTAACTAAGGACTTCCGGACAATTTAAATATGATATTTAGGTACGTTTCTTACCCAGGATCAATGCCCAAAAATATTGGTAGAGAGTTCCGGGACACCCTGTATATATATATATATATATATGTCCGTTAGCGCGATAACTCGAGCAAAAATGATCGGATTTTGATGAAATTTAGTAGAAACAAGTTCAAACCTACATTTATTCGAACGAGTTTGCGAACCAGCATGATTATATATATATATATATATATATATATATATATATATATATATATATATATATATATATATATATATATATATATATATATATATATGTAGCATATATTATAGCATGATTGTACTATGGGAAAGGGGGTTTATGGGGTAAAAATTGGTGTAAATTGTGCTATTTTGTGAAAGTCCACTACCTTCAAGAAATTAATAGAAGGCATAGAAACTCTGGTATTGCCCAGCATTCTTTGCAATTTGTGATTTTATAGAATTATAAATTTAGTACTCATATAACTAATACTGTTTTTGGTTTGTATTTTGCAGAGATATACCAGTTGAGAGGTGAAGGAGACTACAGGTTTGTCACTCTGCACTGGCAATATCCTACACAACTAGCCGGGCTTCATGGCTTCCAGGTGGACTATTGTGAACTGCAGGCTTGGGGGCCCAACCGCTGCAGATCCAAAGTAAGATTCGGAGACGCTAAAACTATTGTTAAGCCTTGTCAACACTAGGCGATTTGTCCCCGGAAACATGTCTACAGTATGTCTGTCTATGTATCGAAAACTGTGTTTACCAACTGTTCGCCGACTGTCGCCAGACTCAGTCACAAGCGAGGACTAGGATACCTAACACTAAATATCAAAAGCATGTAAATGAAGCAAGAAATTTAAATTCTCTTTCAGAATATAACCTTCCACTTTGGTCAATTCCACACCATTTATGAGTTACTTGCAAAAAAGTTAAGCAACCTCCAAATTTATAGTTAGGAAAATGTGATAGTAAGTAGGGTGTACCCCTTCTGTGATAAGAAACTACTGGAGTTAAGAGATATTTACTTTGTACAACTAAATCTACTATACCGTCAATGAAAAGCTTCATCCATGTAGATTTGCAAATAATTATGAATGTTTGATTTTGTTTACAGATTTTTGGTAGTAATGGGTTTGCCATGCATCATCTGATCATATAGATCATGTGTTAATAATTTAACAGCTGATTGTTGTATTGTTATCTCCTTGATTTTTCATTGTTTATGCCTAAATGTTATGGTTAAAAAATTACATTTGTGTTCCTTATGTTATGTGCTTAATTTGTACCATTAGAGAGTAAAATGGTACTTGGATTTCATAACCATTATTTTTCTAGAGACCGTTGTATTTAACCCCAACAGGCTCTGTTGTAAAGTAAGCAAAAGTTCAGATTTAACATTTATAAACTCTACAATTCAAATAATAAATATTACAAAATATTCTGATACGATTTTGAACTTGATATTCAAGATAAAATTGTACATAAGAGTCCGGGTAGCCGAGTGGTTAGAGTGCTCACCTTCAATTCCGAAGGTCGCTGGTTCGATTCCAAGCGAGATCTTTCCAGACCCAGATGCTATTTTGTCATTAGACTTTGAATTAATGCTATCTAACAAGGTCGTTAGATAGTAGCAAGCCCGAGGTTTTTGACTGACCCCTTTCAAAATGTAAAAATGCCAATTGGGGTAAAAAACACACAAAACAAGAATAAAGAGGAATAATTTGCTAAGTATTATCTTTGACTATCCAATAGTCAATGGTATTATTTTATTTATCAGCTGTTGAGTGCTTGAACTAAACGGCAGTGTATTCATTATCAATGCAGAACAGTGCAATGTATTCAGTGCAGAACAGGCTAACTGTGGTTTCATTTGGATAGTTTACATTTACGCTTGAAGAACTAGGCCTCTTATTAGTATAGATTTTCTAGTGTTTAATTGATCTTATCTTAATTCAAACAAGATAATTGTTTTTATGGGAATAGCTTAAAAACTAAACTTGACAAATAACTTGCGCTTCTATTATAAGAATTTTAAATGTTGTGTGCTTGTCTCTGTACATCATGATCTTACTGTAACTAGACTAATAAAATCCAAGTTTTAATAAATGAGCTGACAAAGGATTTGCCACTAACTTAGTTTTTACTCTCTTAACTACATGAACAGTGATACATTTTGTTTAGCTTTTAGGGTTAATTACTTCTATACATTTAGATAATTTGTTCTGTATATGTATGATCATTCAAACATGAAAAAACCAAGTGTAATTTTAAATGAAAAAAGTAGTAGTCTACACTGTATTTTTTAGCTAAATTTTGTTATATGCTGACATCACTCTTAAATAACTTTACTCAATCACACTATCACTGTGGAAAGTTTTGTTCCGGTAAGGTTTTAATTCAGAATATGGCAGCTACAGAAACATAAAAGGAGATATCTTTTTAAAAGTCTTCATAAATATATGTAGTGAAACAAATATTGGATTTATCTCTATCAACACACTACAAGATTTTTATAGAGAATTTCAATTTTTTAAATATAACATTCACGTGGTGGTCACTCCAATAGTAATAGAAAATAATGATTTACAATGTTCATACTAAATGAATGCTCAAAGTTATGCCAGTGAGACGCAACTTATTTTTCATTCTTTGGATCAGGAACCCTTGGGCATAAACGTCCGTTCCTCTTTTCTTTCCAGGCACGTCCGCTTTAGTAAACGGGTTGGGCCTAGGGGCACAAGAGGTTTAAGTTTCTCGGGGGCAGAAGAGTTCTGCCCTCTCCCTGCAAGGAAGGGGAGAAGGTGCGCAAATATCTCTTGGGCCCATAGCACATCACTTGCAAACCACAAACCTGTTTCCAGGGGTGGCTCTAAGTTTTCTTGTGACTGTAATAAAGAATATCCCTTAAAAAACTCTCTTGCAAGCTCCATTATTTGGTATGCCAAATTAATATCGTCTTACACATTTTCAATGCAAATTTACTTCCTCAGTTGTGTTCTAACACACAAGATTCTATTAGAAAAATTGCTTAATAACAGTTGTAGTTTCTAGATGCCTCGTCTGGGGTACCTTACATGGGTGATCCAGAGTTCCGAGCATACTCAGTGATTGTCAACGGACTCAGGATGGCGACCAATTACAGCTTTGAGGTTCAGTCGAGAGAGTCTCGTAGGACAAGGTTCTACGTACAACCTCCGGCCTCGGCTCCTTGGAACCTCAATCCAGCAGCCGAGAGAATTGTGGTCACCACTAAAGGATGTAAGACATAGAGATTTATGGCTGTAAACCTATTAGTCAATGTTAACTGTGGCATCTGGATTGTTTACAGGATCTTGTGTATAACAATAATTTACTTATTATCTTTTAGATTGGATTTAATAATCGAAGGTAAAGAGTTAATCGAGGTAAAGAGGTTGGGCTGATATGGTCTCCTATAAATCTTTAGACATTTATTTCTCAACTTTGCATCATGTTATTCTAATCTCCACAAAGTTCTATTCTATCTTTGATTTTAAATTTACTTTCCTAACTAAAAGTAAACAATAACGACAATTGAGTATTGAAAATGTAATTGACGCTTTTGTTAGTGGGAGTGCCAGTAAAAGACACAAAAAGAGTGTAAATCTTGCAATTTAATTCTAAGGTTATAAGAGTTTGATATTACATCTCAGTTTCTAACACTTTCAACAATTTTCACTGGGATTCATCTAACGCTTGTCAAGTTACGTAGGCAAAACTAAATAATTACTGAAATTAGACTAATATATCAGAGAAGAAGAATGAAGGACTCACTAATCACTATTGCTCTCCAGCCAGTTAATGGTTAAACTTACAAACAGGACAAGTCCTTTCTATTCACACGATTGTTCAAATAATCTTTTACATATTGTCACGCTTTCCCAGTTTCCGCGAGAGCCAGCTTATGTCTACCCACAGCGAGTGAGGTGGAGGTTTGGACGGGACCGTACTTCAGTGGCCGCATTGCTGTGGAGGTAGCCGCAGGGGTACCAGGGCCTTGTAGTGTAGATGGAGACCCGACAAGTCCACAGGACTCCTACACACTCAGGATAGATCACGATCTATGTGGCAGCAAGGTAAACTGGCTATTCTCTTTGAGGATTTTTTTCTGGGACACTAGGCAATACAAAAAAATTACCCGTATGGTCAAAAACTGTACGGCCAAAGCTGTCTAGTGTTTAAGAAGCATTAATTGTCTTTTCAGCTTAGCTTGGTCAAAAGATTTGTTGTATCCGACAAAAATATATAATTTACACCAGCACATTCTGCTAGTTGCTCAATTTAACTATCACCATTTTTATTTCAAATTGGGTACAAATCTAACATGAATATGGAAAGTCTAGTTATACCAACAGTCAAAGGTATTACACTTGATATTTGATATATTTACTGGTGTGTTGTTAGGTGAACCGCACTGCTGTCGAGACGTTTATCCTTGTACAAGAGAACCTCCCTATCCTGACACACAGCACTCGCAGGTTCCTGGTCTTGTGTACCTTCCAACCAGAGACACTCACCGTCAGAGCAGGGTAAGACTTGTTATTTCAATAATATCTGGTTTCTCTCACTATATCAGGTGCCTATTCAAGTCAGCTGTTTTCATTGATCAAATATACTTGCAGCAGTTTACTAAAAAGAGAGATTCATAGGTTTACATCGAAAAGTGGTAATGGAAATTCTGTGGCATCCAACATAATGGAAAATACTCCGAACTATTCCAGTTCCCAATTTTATCCTGGTAACTTGCCTAAGGTAGTACTCCTGAGAAAAGTCTGAGTTTGTTCTGTTTCTAAACTTGGATTCAGCTATCCTTGATCATTTGCCATTTAGTAAATGGTTTTGATTAACGAAACAGCTGATCTTAGTAAAAAGCTATAATCTTGTTCACTTTACGCTTATCCTTGACCTGAAATACACACGATGATGAGACGGCAAAGTATGAATTAATCCAATAACCAGTATGAAGGATTAGAGTCCTTCTCAGAGTTCGACCACACTGGTTTTATAAACTTAAAGGGAGTTGAGCTCAAATGGTAAAAGAAGGAACCATGATGGAAGGGAAACTATTCACTCTAGATAACCAAAGGACATACAAGTACAGTGGCTTCTTTATATTCTACCTAATAGTCAGATTTGCCAAAGACGCAGACTAGAGCTTGTAAGTAAACATTATGGGGTTTGTAAAGTAAAATTGAGTATTGTAATTATGTTTTGGGTGTAAAATAAATAGCTAAAATAAAAAGCTGCTCAAGATAAACAACTTCATAACATTTTTCAGACTCAACTTGCCTCACACAAGCAACGGTGTGACGAGTCCAGAGGCAGCCGAAGTAGACAACCAGGTTCACGAGCACAACAACGTTCACGCGTCAGCACTACAACTGTCTGATGAGTCTGCTCGCGCCTACGCTGGTAATTGTTTATAGATTGGAAATAAGTTAATTTATATTGTTGAAGATTATAAGATTTAGTTTTGATTGGAAAAGTTAGCTGGCTCAATTGAGAAGTTTTGCCGAAATACGAAGGCTGTCTGTAAATTAAGTATCTAAGACCAATATTGTGTTCCTTAGATAGTCTTCTAATATTCTAGCCGGTTTCTGCATGGGACGATTAGTCTCGTCGTAGAATTTGAAAACGTTTTCATAGAACATTGACGCTCTATATATTTCATTGAGTAGGACTAATAACTTCTGTAGCTTATGAATATTTAAAACTATATTATATCCCCCACCAACTTTTATCAACATAATTTTACTACTAATTTCCAAGAGATTGATTGTGACACACCCACAAATTCCCAATGACACATGACGCATATCTTAACCAATAGTTTCCTAGAGAAACAAACATAAACAGTGGTGAGATCTTGTTCACATCAGTTTAGTACCAATTAGCTACAACTCAACAGTCAACACTCAGTGACAATCAACATGTTTTGCAGAACAAGTGTCCGAGGCCCACACAGTTATGTTGTGTGTGGTCATTGCGGCTGGACTCGTGGTGATCGGACTTACGGTTTGGTGGTTTATGCCTCTCAAGACAAAATCAAGTAAGTAACATTCAGTGTTTAATTTTCATGAGTTTGTTAGTTTTATAGTGATTTGATGACCATTTGTTATAATTTGGAATGTATGATATTGTCTGTTATGAAATAGAACAATTAGATAGAGTCTTTATTTTGATACTTGATGGTTAATAATAATAATCTTTTTTCTGCGTTTTTTTATGCGAAAGTAATGTTTACTATCTTTTTTTGGATTTTGCTGACATAAACAAACAAAAATATTTGTCATTGTTTTATCAACTGTTACAATTTCAACAACTTAAGTAAAATATTAACTTTAAATTGAAGGCATAACCTAAAAAAATCTACGAGTTTTGTAATGAAGAAAATAATTATTCTTTGTAGTGTAGCGAGAAGTAACGTTCAAAACACAAGTGAAAGTGGGTCTATACATATTCTCAACCATTTAAAGTGCTCGATAAATCTTGCACTTCAAACATGGTCTCAAATATGTAATAACTCACTTTCTACTCTTGTTACGAAATGTACTATTTATCACCACTTAGGATTTTACTACACAGATCCTATACCAATATAAGCTGTGGTTTTTACCATGTTTTTTTTACTTTAGTAGGTACCCAGCATCATAACAGTTTCTACCTACAGAAATGGTCCAAAAAGTCAACTTTAGATAGTAACAAGACCGGGGTCGGGTTTTGATTGTTCTTTCCCAAAAAAATGTAAAAACATTTACTATATTTATGAGCACAAATAATATAAATGTAGTTAAAATGTTGCAATCATAACAGTGTTGTTACAGCTACAGAATTCTAGAGTACATAAACTATTATCAGACAATTTTCAAATACTGTAGTCGTAACACTAGAATAACTTATTGATACCTTTCCCCCATATTTATCACAATCTGGACAAGAATCTGTAGGCTAAATGTAACAGTACTTCTTGTTGCATTTCCAACAGTCTTATTTGTTAGTGTTTTCTTAATTTATTTACTGTAATTTGATGGGTTTGTAATTTTAAAATACAATTCATCCTGTTAACAGGATGGCCATCAATATAGATAGTCAAATAAGCAGCACAAGTTTTGTTTCCACCTCAATCTTAAATTTCAAAATACCAGTGTTTAGTTTACAATGGAAGTATCAATGTCAAACAGAGATTATAAACCGGAAATCTTCTTGTTGTAGGACGACAATCAATACTGTCCGATGACACGACTTACACATCAAACTCGACAGTTGATGAGAACTATGAGAACTCCATCCGAGACTCAGAGCTGGACTTTGAGACGGCCAATGACGTTTGTGGAGAGAGAGATGAGAATATCTTGAGGGAAGGTGTGTGTAACGAGATTCTACAAGAAACGTGCGTGTCTCTGAACGTAGATTGGCAGGACACCATTAGACCGGAGTGTGCAACGCAATCAGAAGCTTGATCAACAAGTAAACTAGTGAATGGATACAGTTTTAATATCAAACGTTAAGGTGTACAATGTACACTTAGGCTAAACTTGATGTGAATTACGTTAAATTATTTTAGTTTGATGTGAAGACTAAAATATTTTATAGGGCTAAACTGAATGTATTGTGGCAAGAGATGTTAAGTTTACTTCTTATCATGTCGAAACATGTTTTGAGCTTGAAAGAAAAGCTGGACATACACATTAGGTACTTTCGAAAGATTGACTAAAAAAAACCAAAAATTTGGAATCAATTTTTAAAATAATTTACAATTGTATTAGGGCATTGAGAGTAAACATATCCAAACCCAATAAAAAAATATGATTGGCAAGTCTTTAATGTAGTTATGGCTACAATTTTTTTAAACTTCATATTATTGGTAGTTTAAATTAATTATTGTCTTTTAAAACTATTTTTACTACTTAACCCAAAAAATAACGTTTATGAAAAGAGTTAAATGTGTGTTGGTCAAAGTTGTCAAATCGAAATAAGTGTCCACCCTTTTGAAATGACAAATACCGATTCTAGTTTCCAAATTAATTACGATTAGCAAATTGTATTGTGAAAAATGTTTACGAGTATAGCTTTCATTATTAAATAAATAATGGTCTGTAGAACTTATAGGCAATGTAAAAACAGCTTAGTATAGTATTTTTAGATAGTGTTTGGATTAATAAGAAATGTAAAGTTACACTAGAGTATAAAGTTTATTAGGTATGTTATTTTTTACATTGTTAGTTCCTTCGTAAGCTATTTTATTATGCAATGTGATATAATTTTGTATTGTAATTTATTAAAATGTTTTTATAATTTATTTTCTAGAATAATCTTCTAACCATTGCTTGACTATCCAACTTCATAGGATATTATTGGCTAAATAACACGTCTAGTCTTAGAGAAGTTTTTTATATCCAAACTCTATATATCGAACACTCAATAATCGATTTATCAGAAACATCATAACCACCTTCCGCGATTGCAGCAAACGTCTGAACATAGCACACGGTCTTGTAGACATCATTGTCTTTCACGATCACAGCCAAATTATCATAAAATTAAATATAACTATCTTGGGGCGAGATAAGTTATCTTTCATCAACTAATTAATTTTCCTAGTAGTGGACAACTAACTTTGGCAAATACTTGTGGATACGGGGCTGATGGGTTGATTAGATCTTATTTCACTACTTTTTTAGAGCCTCTTTTAGTCTGATTTCTGTATGGGAATATTTGCCAAGGTGGATTACCAGGTATGACAAGGAAGAATTGATTAAGACATAATGTTACCAAATTGTTTATCACGAGGGTGGATCCAGTACAAATATCTGTTTGGTCAGTTGAGGTTTGGGGAAAAGAAACATCAAGGTGCCGGCGTTGAGTTCCTCCAGAGCTAGTTGTGCGTGAAGTCTCGTCACATCGTCTCGGTCATTGTTGTAAATGTGCTTCAGAGTGTGGTAAAGTTCTAACAACACATCTTGCAAAACCTGAAAAAGGAAAGTGTGAGTATACTTGTGGCTTCAGGAAGAAGTATGAGGTGTGTTTTATAAAACAGCCATTTGTGCATTTAGCTTTGTAGTTAGCGTGTAAGCCGCAGTGAGACGGTGCGCCACTAATCGACATTATTTGGGAATAGAATCGCACTATTTCAGTGATGGAGGTGGCTACTGTGTATGCTAGGTCTCGACATTTTTTAAAATTATTTAATCTTCCGCCATATGTGCAGGATAAAGTCACTGATAAGTTTTTTGACTGCAAGAAACAATCCGATTCAGACACTCATCGCCACATGACTGAATGCATTGAGGGGAGGGAAGAATGCAGAAATAGGTTAGAGAGTTTGAAAATAGTGCAAATCTGTTTATAAATTATGTCAGCAAGTGGCATGCCACCTCATTGCGGCGAACATCAAAGGAGCTTTATGCACGAAGGGCCCTTACTTAAAAAACACCCTTCCTAGTTCCTAGGTTTCAATTACTGAATCTTTGATTACCTCTATCGTGATAAGACACATCAAATTGCTCAAATGAGAATTTCTTGAAGATTGAACATAAACGGTGAAGTAGTTAGGGTTGCAAAGGAACTAAGTTACTGCAGTATTTTTTTTCAAGTTTTTTTTAACACCCAACAAAAGTTATATCAGATTTAATTATAGTCAAAGTGATCCTATGATGTAAATTTTAGAACTAACTTGTCTATACCATTGGAATACGAAACTTAAAGAACAAATTTGTTCTTTCTCAATGTGAACCATTTCAATTATGGTACTTTTGCAGTTTTTTTTACAAGAAGTAGAAATGTCTTTTAACACATCCTTTGATTATAATGAATACAAAATTGAAATGAACACTTTGGGACCTATGACATAATGACTAAGTTAAAAGAATTTAAAAATGAAGTAGTGCAGTACTCACTGTGAGAACATCTTTTTCTAGTCCTTTCAGTAGCAAAGAGACAAGCATGACTGCAGCCCTACGAACCTCAACAGACGGATCAGACTGGGCTATACAGCGAACACACATCAAAACCTACAATGCAAAAACAAACAATAACACAGCTCAACAACATTGTACCAACCAAGCTGACAGTAAAAAAACACCAATAGTGTAGTTTTACGAGAAGTTTAGAGAGCTTAACTTGAGATTATAAAAATCCACAGGCGCATAGATACACAGTATAATGTCCCAAATTATATAACTTTGATATTTTGTCCTAATGCAAGACTACTTCAAAGAGTAAATTTATCATTCCACTTTCCCTTCAAAAGAACTAATTGAGTAACTGGTTACTGCACACTTCACTTTGAATAACTGTTCCAATGTTCCAATCATTTTAAAACTCAGGCATTTATTTGGAATGGTTTAAAACCTTTGAAAGTTTACAAACTATTTCAGCATGACAAACGTGTTATAGTAGTTTACGAACAATTGCGTAAAGATAGTGTTACCAACACAAGTAGAAAATTAAAGGCGAGTGCCTTAAAAACTTCTACAAGTGTCGTTAACACTATTTACCCGAGTTGCGTACACCACTTTACCTACGACAGTGTTTTAATTACTAAAAATCACTACTCATAACTTCTAAGAGATGTTGTGTTTTCGTTTATATAAGCTCTCATTGCCACTGACAGTGATGCAACAAAATATTGTACCAAACACTAATAGCAACACTCAAACATTAAATTGGCCTGAACAGCTGATTAGTTGAAGTTCGAATCATTACAATTTTACTTCTTCTCTCTCAATCATTGAACCTCATTGGTCCGTTACCCATGTTGTTAAGTAAAACTATGCCGTTATGTAAGTAAACAATGCGGTTTTTTGAAACTTTTCAATTCTAAGAACTGAACTGAAATGACTACTTTAAAAAACGGTCGTAGGTAAAAATATTAACAAACTTGGTTTGGTTCATGTTCATGATAATTGGTCAAGTTTCTGACTTATTCAAACTCCACCTACCATATTATGATTAACTTTCTACCTCTACTATAGATGTTACAGTATACCCTACCTCAGCTATGATGGGTCCCACCCGGAACCCCAACACCCTACACAGTTCCCCAAGGTTAGAGAGACTAGAGGCTCGTACTAGGAAATCATCTTCTCTCGTCCCGGAAAGGAAAGTGTTGATCAGTTCACTTTTGTAAACAGGTGTCAAATCTCCTGTAACAGAAACGTTAAGGCATTTAAAGGGATAAAACCCTCCATTGGAAAAAAATTTTAACTTTCATTATGCAGCAGTATCAGGTAAATGTTTAGGCATTAAATATTGAATATTTGTAAAACTATCAATACATAGAGGTATTGAGGTAAAATACAGAATTTAAAGATCAACTGTTGTTTAAATAGTTTTTTAAAGCTAGCGTTACCCAAACTGTGGGTTGCGACCTACTACAGTCCAACCTCAGTATAACGAATCTGAAGGGACCGAACTGAATATTCGTTATATCAAGGATTTTGTTAAAACGAGGTTCGTTATATAGAGGTTAGGTTTGCAGGAATTTCGCTAAGTCGAGGTTCAGAACCAGCGTCGGTCAATATAGGTCGGGATTTGACCACATTAAAATACAATTAAAGTAGCATAGGCTACGCTACAATACTTTACAGTACAGTGTTTACATTGTACAGTAGAACCTAAATCATCCGGCATAATAAAGGGGAGGGATCTTAAATATTGCGCAATCATGACAATGGCATTGACCTTGGTACAGGTTAAAAACTGTAAGTTTAAAATCACAGCTTGTTCTAACCCTCCTAAAACCTAGCCAAACACTGTATTGCGTAGTCATAAACCATGTAAAGAACAAAACAAAACAGTAGAAAGTTTTGTAAGCTACTGCTCGTGATAGGCCGGTAGGCTACTTACAGTACAGTACTGATTTATCACAACAGAGGAATGTCAATAATAATCATTAACTATATAGCATTGGTGTTGCTAGTTGAAACAAATAGTATTGAAAACAATAAATTATTAGATAAGTTATTATAAAGGGGTATAATCATAGCCAACTTAAGGATAATAAAAACACTCGTAAAAGGAATGTTAAGATAACGATGTTGCTATTCTTTCTCTTTGGTTTTGTTTTTATATTCTTTCTTAGCTTTCTCTTTATCCAAAAATTTTACAATTCACCATAGCTATCCCATATCGCCCAATCACAGCTTACTAAACATTACGTCGTCGTCAGTCCTCAGTGAATGAAATCAGTTCTCAGTTGCATTGCAACATAGCGCGCGCAGCGACAGCAGACAAAGATGTAAAACGGAGCAGACGAATGTTAGCGCAAGCGCTGACGTGATCTTTCCATTTCATTTGATAAAGAAACAGATTTTCCCAAAACAATAATTGGGTGGGGGATTTGTTATATCGAGGGAAAGACGTAGACAATTCGTTATGCAGAGGTTAAATTCGCAATGTAGAGGTTCTGACAATGATAAATTTGTTATATTGAGGTGTCTTATTTTAGCCGAAATCACGAAAAATTCGTTAAATCAAGGTCGTTGTTATGGTTTGTTCGTTATGTAGAGGTAAAATATACATTGTGTCTTATGGAGAGTTCTAGGGGATTAAAAAAATTTCGTTATATCAAGGAATTCGTTATATCAAGGTTCGTTATATCAAGGTTAGACTGTAGTGGGTCACAAGAGCACTTTTGATAGGTCATGGGAAATGAGGCACCGCTTGAAGCAGTGCAATTATCGCTGCCACCTTAGCACCAGAGTGTTTTTACACTCAGTGCACATCCAGCTACGTACTTGTGCGTATCAAATCTCTCGTACTTTGTCTACAGTTGAGTGTTAATATTAGCGCCATTGTAAATCCTGCCAGTATTTAGATGTGCTCTGTGGTCAAATTTTTGTTGGCTAATTGAAATTTATCACTAGGTATGTAATGTTTACTAAGTGGGTCAGTGGTGTATTAACTTTACAAATTTCAGTTAACTAATGTTCACGATCAGGACCGTAGTGTTAGGCCATGTCTGACGGTTGAACTGGTAAGGAAATTCAATGACAAAATCTATGAAAATCACAGTTTTACAATTATGGAACTCTAGGATCATTTTCTCCAAATTTTACAAAGTTTGGTTCATAGAAACGCCTTGAATAACTTGGTTTCTACGATTTTTCTGCCCAGTGGTTTCCAAAAATCTTAACAGATGATCACACAAACATACACTGATATTCATGGAAGACTACAACAAAAGCGGAAACAAAGTTTTAAGCTATTTTGAAGTCTATGCACAACTTCTTTCTCCGTCTTCG